GAAATGAAATGAAATCACTATCAAGAATAACAATAAAAAGAGAAAAGAAGTAAAAAAAAAATTAAAAGCCTACCAACACATTTCTGTTAGAAGAAAAAAATTACAACAGACAAAAAAACTCTGTGGCTGGAGAGTGACTTAGGAAGACACATATAAATACACCAATGCAAAAGACATCCTAATCGTGGTATGGGTCCATCACTAGCTGAAGGTAATAAATTATTAATACAATGCAGAAAAGGCATAAAAGCCCAATGAATATGTTTGCTGTGAATTTGCAAAGAAGCAGGTTGAAGTTGTTTCTCAAAGCATGATGTAGTGCTTTCTAGGCTATTGGGAGGTAGGAAAGATGATAGAAAACTTCTATTATGAATAGGTATTTTTAAGAAAACTGTCACAGGTAACTTGCATGCAAGAATCTTAAAACAATTGGCTAATGCATATGCTGATATGATACATTCTAGAGAAAAAGAGAGAAAAAGTGTTTGAACAAATATGTAGAAAAAAATTGAGCCTTTCAATAAATTTTATTGACTGGGGAATTTTAATCTGTCAAATTGGCTGATGCCACTGCCACAGCAGTATTCATGTAGCTATATTATCAATAATTTCTTGTTTAAGTGCAGAAAAGAAATGCTGCTGAAAAAAATTATCCATGAATCAGAAAACAGAAAAGAACACAAGTATTACAACATCAAATTAAAAAGAGAAAAAAGGAGAAATCTACTAGTGTAGATTTTTTGTACTGTTCTGTAAACTTGAAGCAGAGACTGGCGTTTTCCAGTGACTTGAGATGGGTGGTTTATTCATGGAGCTCAATACCCCATTCTCTCTTCTCTTTCCCTCACCCCATAGCATTCTTCACTCTGTGTCCTTGGAATAGCATTCCTCCCACTGAAATGTATTGAGAGACAACAAGCATATTTGATGACGATGGACTTTCAAGGAGACCCAGAGTATCGCATGTGTTTATTCATTAGACAATCACAACCAAAATTATTAAACTTTCAAATAAAATTGTAACTGATCCAGTGGCAATGTCTAACACTTCTGTGCTTTCACTAGGAGCATTAAGTGAAGTGTTACACATTTATTAAAATACTGCTGTTTTGGAAAGATATTCTTTTTAAAATACTGACCTATAGTAGCAAATTCTTTGGACATTCAAATTATGCTACCTAGAAAACAAAACACGGATACTATCTTATTCTAATAGCTAGAGGCTCCACTTACTACAAAAACTTCCATTCACAACTTCCAGTCTGACCACAACATCCCTCAGTCTAATAAATGGCTGGCTGGCTGAACTAAACAGATCTCGATTTTCAGTAGTAAAAATCTAACTCTTTTAATGTAGTTCCTACAGACCTAACGTTGTATTCAGAAAAAGAAAATGGAACACAGAACATGAGTTCAGAAAACTAGCAGATGTTGTCTGTCCCAGTGCGTGAATGACAGCAGGCAATTTCCTAGCTCAGTGTCCAGGTTGTAAGTCATCTGTGTGTATTGCTGCCTCTCCAGTACTTCACTGAAGCCAGGAAGCCTCACCACAATGGTGGAGGACATGTTGTAAAACAATCTTTATTACTATAATTTATGCGCCGTTCAAGCTAGTTACACTGCTCTGTCTGCAACTCTGAAGCAGGTCTCTTGTTTTCTCTTATATGAATTGTTAAATTAGAATTACATTGATAAAAATCAAGGTAACTGAAAAGAAAGCAAGCAATAGATTTTTCCATCTCTTCGTGATTTCAGATTTTGGAGGAAAAAAAAAGCTTTTAATTTTGTACTTCAGTTAAAAAGAAATATTGGGTCTAACATACGCAGGGTGTATGAGTGAAATTCTTTGGGAATCAGGCACTAGTTGAAATAAAGTTCCTTCTGGTCTTGAAAGAGAAGGGGAAAAAAAGAGGGAGAGGAGGACGCAATGGCTTCTGCAATGTCAGTAAGATGCTGAGGAGCCAAAACAAACTACAGTGTTTGTAGAAAGAGTCAAGTTCTGCTACTCTGCCCTTTCTAACAGGTCTCCAAATTGTGACAGACTGGTGGAAATCAGAGACTAGCTGTAATCATTATGTATGGGACTTCTCAAAACCTGCAGCAGATATTTGAATTTGTTAAAAAAGGAAAAGCACCAAATCACATTTTCAAAGTAGGGCTTTGGCCTAGTGCGCTGACATTTGAAAACCAGTATGATTTCTCTCCATAAAAAGTATCAAAGAACAGATGCATATTAGCTGCCATGGAGTAATACAGGCTGCCAATAAGCGGGAGCTTTCTACATGTCTCCTGGAGGCATTTTGAGGCCGCAACACGTAACTCATTTTAGGGTGGAAGTGCATCAGTGCGGGAGGCACCGCACAGCGTTACTGACAAGACACAGCCCTAGATATAGCAACTCAGTTAAAACAGTACACGACAAGAGGTTTAAAACTTCTACAAAAGTGGGCAGACGGAGCACTGCCGTTCCTCGCAACTTGAATATAAATCACAACGGCGGCAGAGCCCAGTAGCGTCGTTTATACAACTGCCTTCCCACGGCAAAAGGGGACCGCCTGGCACCCGAGGTGTGTGGCCCGGCTTTGCGCCAGGATTTCCGCGGGAAAGACCAGCCCTGCAGCCGGCCGCGAGGCGCGGACGGGGCGCGCAGTGCTGCGTCCCCCTGCCAGGACCGCGCGGAGCCGGCCAGGAAACCCGCGCCGTGAACAGGAACAACGTCGTTCCCCCCATCTCTGCGGCGAGGGGAGCGCCGTCCGCGG